CACAAGCTCTCGGGATTTACAGAATGGTAAAGGGAAGTTAGTGAATAATAACATAGCCAAAACAGGAAAAGAAAATAAAACACTGTTTATGTTAGAGAAGTGTCATTTCACAGGATGTTGCAAGTCATGCCAACTTAGTGAAAGAAATCTGCTTTATTAGGTTTGGTGAACTGTATTCTGACAAGATTCCCAAGTCGGCAGAGATCGTTTTCCCCTGATATATAAGAATATCCTTGAAGAAATTGGAATTTGCTTTGCTCACAGAGAAGCATGTACACTCTTATATGTAAATTTATAGTTATGAAGTGAAGATTAAAGAAAAAAAGCAACAGCAGGCTAGCATAAGAAGCAATATGTCTTGATCTATGGTCAAAGGTCCCGTTTCATCAAAATTTTCAAGTAGATGAGAATCTGAGACATATAATGTGCTTAGATACTATAGAACTAATTTAAAAAATATTGTGCTAGCTGAAAATAGAGATCAGTGCCTGTCCCACTTTTCCAGACAGCTAATAGGTGTTATGAAAGCTTACATTGGTGAAAAGGATAAATGAGAAATAATAAAATAAAATAAAGTAAAATAAAATGAGAATAAAAATGGACTTCTATTTATAGAGTGATCTGCTTGGAAACAACTCTAATTTTAGGATGTTACAAGAACCACTACCAAGCACTGCCTTACTAGAAACGCTCTATGCCTATCTAAAGCTGTTTACAAAACAGAAATAAAAACACCTTGCTGATAGTCACAAAGCACAGAAGAGTTTTAAATAACCCTCCCCACTGCTACTGCAATGCAGAACTTCTTCACAGACACCTTGATTTTTAGACAGATTTTCAAACATCTGTGTCACAGATATTATTACTTCATTGTTTATATTTCTAAGTAGATACTGAACACATATGAGTGAGATACTGAACACATATGTATATCTGATGCGGGAAATTCTCTGCTTTTTCTGGAAACATTTTTCCCTTAGGTATTAAAAATATGTGAACTTTGGAGGTAGCATGTAATCTGAAACTAAGGGGACGAAATTCTCTGATGCCCTCTCCAACTTTCCTAAGCAGTGACAAGTCAGTTGCCAAGTATTTTCCTTTCGGTGTGCTGTCTAGTGCTTTAAAGAAAAAGGAATAGATTTAAACTTATGATTTGTGATGTCTCTGCCTGAGAGAAAAACAGAAAAGAAAAATGAAATAAATTCACTCTGAATTAAGATATTTGTGTTTAGTCACACAACAGATTTTCTTTATAGTGTACACACACACACACACACACATACACAAATGTGACATTCTGGGGAATCACCTGAATTTTATAAAACTGTCTATATTTGACAAAGGTTCACTTTTCTTTGCTAAACCTTCCTGGCTTTTAATTGTAATGTTCACAGTAGTTGAGGACACTCTTCACTGAGCATCAGAATGGCTATGAGTGTTTAATGATAGAGTGATGTTCTAGGATTAAACTCTCAATATAAAGGCTAAATAATACATAGCCTTTCACCAAGACTGCTAAAAGTACAATTATTTAAGTGTTTAATTATGAAAATTTAACGTTAAATATAGTTAATCATTGACCTAACCTCTGGTTACACATGCATCACTATACAATAAAAATAATAAAGTATAGTGTATTGAGTTTCTATTACATTTCTATCTTTCTTTTTTTCATCATTTTTTGAGACAAAATTTGACTATGTGGCTCAGGCAGGACTGGCTGACCTGCAACCTTAGCTTTCTAAGTTCTAAGTGCTGGGATACATGTATATACATACATACATACATACATACATACATACATACATATATATATATATGTGTGTGTGTGTGTGTGTGTGTGTGTGTGTGTGTGTGTGTATGTGTGTGTGTGTGTGTGTGTGTGTGTGTGTGTAGTGCACAATCCCAATCCAGACTGTCCTGAAATTCAGAATCTCCACCCTACTCTTTCAAGGCATAAGGTTACAGGCATGTCTACCACATTTCAGCCAAAAAATGAATTCTAATAACAAGGAAATGGTTGAACCTTCTTGGTTGTTAAGAAGTGTTTCATTGAATTAGATACTTAAGAGTTCAGACTAAGTAACCTCTATTTGTTAATGTTCAGATTTTTTTTTAATTCCACAGTTCCTGTAGCATGTATACCTTTAGGGCTCTGTTGTCTTTCCAGGAAAGATTACATTCTTTGAAAGGATGACCGTGTTGTCTTGAAGCAAGGATGACAATAAATGAGAATTATTTCTAGGTAATATCAAATTAGAAGGTAAATTGGATCAGAACAACTTTGCTGTGAGCTCTAATGCCTAGAGCCTCTCTACTTGTCTAAGACAAGCATCAAATCTTTGTCCACAAGCCCTGTTTTTGCAATTTTACTATTCTATGTTCTGCTCATCTATTCTTTTGAAGACACAGACAACAATTTGATTATATTCTTTGATAGCTATAATGCTTGATTGAATATTTGCTTTATCTTCTTTATCACACACTTTTAGCTTATTTGAGGACATTTTTAAATATACAGTAGATGAGGTACATGTAGATGTAACCATGTCACCTTCATAACCACCCTCTTTCTCGTTCTATTCCTCTACCTTTGCCTTGATCCTTTCTTTCTTCTTCTGCACTCCTCCTTCCTTCTCTTCTTCCTTTTATTCTTTAACTACTCTCTCCTTTCTTACTTTCAGTTGTTTCATTTTGCCTAACATTTTCTTCCTAGCTATTTTTTTCCTGAATAGAACCATGTTCCCTTTTATACCTACCTACTTGTCTGCTTATTTAAGTTCTTTCAGGAAGATTCTGCTCATTAATCCTTACTTAAACTTTTGCAGTTATAGTTAACTTTAGGCTCTTCGTTTCTGCTGTTTTTACAAAAACGCCATTCGATTTTCCTCACTGTCTGTGAACTGCTGGCGTCAAAATTACAGTGTAATCACAAGCTGAAGAGCTTATAATGTATCATAATCAATACGTAAAATTTGCTTCTCTGGATGTGACAGAAAGGAGTCAAGTAAAAAATCTGGGGAAGTGCAGCAGTGAAGCACAAACACTTGTTTGATGTTGGTGGTTTCAAATTCAAGGTCAATTCACATTTTTAAAATCTGCATTAGTCTTTCTCTTTCTCTGACTCTAAATCCATGTTGAGTTCATTCAGTGCTGGTTATGTAAATAGCTGAAATGGAAGTCCAGTCAATACTGAAATATGAAACCATGTTGGCATGTTTCAAAACGAGTGTATTGGTTGTAAATCATTTAACGTAAAATGCTTGGCTCCAAAGGATTACAGAACATTAACAAAGCTATACGATGCTCTTCAGAACAGACAGCACACAGAAAATACCCCATAACAAACCTTTAATTCACTAAAAATAAATTTTAATCTGAGTTCTAGGTTCTTCTCTAGTAGTTCATTTCTCATTTAACTGGTTCCCAGACAAAGTCTACATTACTCTATTGATACATAATTCAGACTACCTCTCAAGATTCTTTCCTGCTTTACATAATAAATTTAAGAGGGATACTGTATTTTTCCAAGGAAAATATTTTATTAAAATGGTAAGTTAACATATGTGCAAAAACAGCCTAAATACTTTTAAATTTTCACAAGTGTAAATTATATATGGTATGACATTTCACACTATTTTGTCTTGCCAAGGACCACTCTGGCACTTAATAAAATATTATTTATTTCATGGCTCAAATTTCTCAATTTCTTAGGGTAGTTTGTGGGTATACTTGGTTGATAATTAATGAGAAATTGCCTATGGGCTTTAAATATAAAATTAAATGTTTCTTGTGACTTTGAAAAGGTACCATACAAATAATTTTAATTTTGCTGTTTCCTATGTCAAATGCATTGTTTGTAGACTTCTCTTTCCTTGTAGATTATACCAGATATGTAGGGATCATCTAGCATCAATTAAAAGGAATGCCCTAGGGCTCCTAAATGTATAGGGAATTCTATTCCCATCACATGGAGGTAAATTGTAAATATCCTCTTCTCCTTGTAGTAGTCTCCATCTAAAATGCATCATTAAACAAAAGGGAAGCCACCATTCACAGAGGAAAGAAACTACCGAGTAGTCATAATTCAACGACATGGTGGAAAATATTGGAACCAATAGGGAGTTCATAGCTACCATCACAGAGAACACATCTTACTTGACGTTTCCTCATTACTATCTTTAAATTAGGAATCATTAAATAATGCTTTATATAGATTCTCCGTATGTCTATTGGCAAAGAAGGAAGTACAAGTTCTCAGAGAAAACATTATTGTCTAGAGTAGGAAATCATGAAGTATCATTATTCTGAACTATACCTGTTGAGTAAGCCGTTTTCACCCACTTACACCAAACACAAAAACTGAAAGTGAAAGGAATTGATTACAAGATCCACATGCATATATAATAAAACAGGAAAGTGCCCTTCTGACAAGCTTATTCATAATACATTGTGATAGGAAATTCCATTTGCCACTCTCAGTAGGGAAAAAGTCAGATTTGAAAGGAACCCTTTTATTTCATGACTGTCACCAAAATAAGAATTGCAAATAAAATAAGGAGAAAATATTTTTAAAGTATTTTAGAACTTATTATGAAAATTTGTGATCCCTGTTATTTGATTTAACAAAAAGAATCCTCACCACCCTTTTTGAAGCTTTCTGTCTCCAGGATGGGTTACATAGAACAAGGACTAAATTCCCCAGGGGATCTGGTTACAGTGATGCTGTATTCCACTGAGAATCACTCTCCCATGACCACGTTTTGCTTCTTCCCAGGCTATGGGAATTTGTTAATATCTAGAGAATAGACTTAAATAAAACCATTGTCTCAACCAGCAGGTTTATGCAACCATCCTGAAATGTTTTAATTATTGTTTTCTTTTCCTTTTTAATTAAGAGAGCAGAGGTCAAGCAAGCCCACTGAGAACTGATCACAGCCTCAAGTAGAAATGGCAAGGAAACTAATGATCCGATTGTTGTTTTCTCTTTTGTTTTGCAGAACCAGAAGAGTGCATTAATTGCACAGATGAATGCCGAGTGCTTGGTCATTCTGATAGGTGTTGGATGCCACAGTTCCCTGCAGCCAATCAGGCTGAAAATGCAGATTACCGCACAAATCTCTTTGTACCCACAGTTGAAGCTAACGTTGAGACTGAGACTTACGAAACTGTGAATCCCACTGGGAAAAAGACTTTTTGTACATTTGGAAAAGACAAGCGAGAGCACACTATTCTCATTGCCAATGTGAAACCTTATTTAAAAGCCAAACGTGCCCTGAGCCCTCTCCTCCAAGAGGTCCCCTCAGCATCTAGCAGCCCAACCAAGGCATGCATTGAGCCTTGCGCCTCAACAAAAGGCTCCCTAGATGGCTGTGAAGCAAAACAGGGGGCCTTAGCAGAAGCAAGCAGCTCCTACCTGCCCACTGACAGTCAGTATCCGTCACCCAGTAAGCAACCAAGAGACCCTTCCTTCATGGCTTCTGAGCAGATGGCAAGGGTCTTTGCGGATGTGCATTCCAGAGCCAGTAGGGATTCCAGCGAGATGGGAGGTGTGCTGGAGCAGCTTGATCACCCCAACAGAGATCTGGGCAGAGAGTCTGTGGATGCCGAAGAAGTTGTGAGAGAGATTGATAAGCTGTTGCAGGACTGCCGGGGAAATGACCCTGTCGCTGTGAGAAAGTGAGGGGGAAAGGCATTGGTGTTTCCTTGTCTCTTCTGTTGATTTGAAAATGATCATTCCCGGTGAAAACCCATTTTACAGGGATGGCAAAGGACCAGTGCTGCTTTAAGGCTTTTAGTGAACATCTGAAGTGCCCACAAGTATGTTCTTTTCACTGCTGTTTCTTTTACAGAAATAACAATGGTTTTGACCAAACTTATATTAGGACAGAATTAATGATGCTTAAGGAGAAAGGAGAAAAGAGAGGGAAAGAGAGAGAGAGAGAGAGAGAGAGAGAGAGAGAGAGAGAGAGAGAGAAGAAATTGGAAAGACGAAAAAGGAGGATGAGACAAGTTACCTTTTGACAATCTGTTAGGAAGGTACGCAGTGTGAGACTTAACGTATTTCTGATCACTCTAAGACTGTCCTCCCACGAGATCGATGCTGACTTAACTGTTTACCTATAAACCCATACAAAGCAGGGTCATATTTGTTATCTGTGGTGGACTACTAGCTGACATCACAGGCTTCTACTGAAAGTCCCGAAACGACCTTGCAGTAGTCCAAGCTACACCAAACATTAACACATATTTGTGGTAAACATTTCTGTATAAAGTACCTGCCAAGCATAGAAACACAAAGACCATTCCATACCATTAGTCAGAAAGCAAAAGAAAAAAATATGTAATAATAACAAAACAGAAAAAAAAGATAAAACAACAAAAACCCTTGGTCATTTGTAAGACACCTCATGTCATATAAAAGTTCAATGTAAAAAGATATAGTCTGTGTTGTCCTGACACATGTAGACCTGTTCACTTCATTAAAGAAGAAAATTTTGAAAATTTAAAAATGTCTATTTAGCATTTTAGTGTCCAACAAAGATATAAATAACAGTGGGTTTGCTTTACATTTGAACAGTTCTGAATTATGGGTTATCTTTGAGTAGTAATACTGTGAGGAAATTAACATAACTAAAATGTTTTACTCATTTTTGGACACTAAAATAGCTCAGGAAAGTGAAAAAAATGTCTTAGGCATAACAAATCATATGATCATTTAAATGTGCAGATGTAAGAAGATTCAATGTGTTTACATCAAATGACATATTTTTATTGATTTATTGCAGATTCCGTGCATATGAGCCAAATTGTTGAGTGTATAAGAGCTATATTGTGTATTTTATTAAATTAATATATAGTTGTGTTGCAAAAATATTTGGGCTTATATTGTAAATGGCAAGTGTTGCCTCGGTAGCTGTCGAACTCTATGAGTTTTGTTTTTTCCTGCTTCCTTTTCCCCATGGAGCGTGGGGAGCAGGGCCTCAGAGCAAAGTCTCTCGTTTAATGTATAGTCTACCAAGTATACAGTACACAATTCTGTTCAAAATGTGTTTGAGTGAGCTGATGGAGCTAACTGAAAGGTCAGAAAAATACATCTGTCAGTCATAGTTCTGTGCAAGTCCTTGTAGAAAGCTTTGATTAAAGTCATGCTAAATCACAAGAATTACATTTGTACCAATACTTGGAAGTTCCCCCACACCCCTTTTTTTCAATAACATGAAGCTTGTGCCTATGTAGATATCATAACATTGGTTGGTTCTCAAAGTATCTTCAGTGGTTCAGGTGTGTGTGTACACATCATATTTGTAATCATACGAAATTTTCTAATGCATGTGTAGTACCAATGCTGATTACATGCATTGTGTACTGTGTGTTTCAAGAGGTCTGGGTCTTTAAACAAAATGTGTTTTCCTTTAGCCCCGTGCTCTTCTGCCTGCTTTTATTCATGTTCTTTGAGAACAATACCTATTATTCCATCATTGGGTTGCACCTTTTCTTGTGACATTTAGCAAGTTTCCAACTTACTTCCTTATGAGGCTAAGGCAACTCTAATTTCAGGAATTGGGAAAAATAAAATTAGCATTCACAGAAGTAGTAGCAGATGGGGAAATGCCTTGATTGACATTTTCCTTCAGCATTTAAAATTTTTTTTTGGCATTTAACAGCTTCATGGCAAACAGTTTGAGCCCATACCTAGGAAAATGTGGTGTTCAGTTAAATAAAGGCTGTTTGTGCTCTGGAGCAGGGAAAAATTATTATTTGCAAACTGGGAGGGATTTCTGTGCCTTCTTTTCTGGCCACCAAGCCAGTGTAGAAACAGTATAAATGTCAAAAAAAATAAGAAGAAACTTATACTAAAAACAAATGGAAAAGCAAAACAAACTTTGAACTAAATTAAGTTTTATAATTAATAAAAACCTGCTGGAAATATTTCCATCATTTCAGGAAAGTTTTAGATTGTACCCCACTCACAATTGCTTTGGGGTTAAGAATGGATGACTCCCCTTGGCCTTATTTTCTTGAGAACTGCATTGGGTTCTTGGCACAAGCCTTTCCACATCTCGACTCCTGCTTTTTGTTATCCGTCCATGTTTAAATTAGAAAAGAGGAGATCTTGTACATGCAAAACCCAACTGACATTGATATTTTGGACCACTTATGTATCTACAATGTTTGTCTCTCTTCTCTGATGTTACTTTTACCAGGAGACTACAAATTTATTTAGCTTTATAGATAGTTGACAGTTGCTGAAAACTGTTTCCATTTAATCATTCTGAGCTTTGCCTCTCTCTCACTATTCAGATAACCACTTTAGTGACATCTAAAGCAGTGTGCAAATAAATTCAACACAAACAATAGTTCTAAGTAACCAGCTGTTCAATGTATTGTTAAGCATCTGAAACACTGAAACACTACACGAGTCTCAGAATTGCTTATGCCAACATGTGAGGGATTGACTCTAAGCTGTCACCAGTGATCTGCTAGTGTTAGCTGTTTAATACATTACTTGTACTTAGTAGTGATTATTTATTTACAAGTTGGTGGTAGTTCAAGTCAGGACTCTGAGCTTTTATTGTTGAGGGAATCTTGTTTTTATTCATCTCCCTGGGACCTGCCTTTAACACAGAACTCTGGTGCTTGGCTTCCAAGGAAGCCTTTGCGATGCCAAAATCATACATTTAGGGAAACAATGGCTGTGGTGGATAGTACATAACTGGGGAGAGTTGAGGTGGTTTCTGAATTTAAAATGCTTTACAGACACACACACACACACACACACACACACACACACACACACACACAATGAAAAACAAAGTCCTTTAATTCTTTAGAGTTATTTAAGCAGAGGAAAACTGTCCATTTTGGGAAATTTTAGTAAAAGACACAAAATGCAAAAAAAAAAAAATGGAAAAAAGAATGCATAATGGTGAACTAAAGACAAAACATTAGTAATGAAATATTTTCCCCATTTGTTAATGATGAAAATATTTTCTTTAAAATTCAGCATAGTAAGAATCACTGTTATGCTATATCAAAGTAAACACTGAAGAGGCATATATAATCTCAAAGAAGGTTGTCACATTGTTTCTTTACCAGACAAACTTCTCCTTATGGCAAACAACACAAAAAACTAGACCAATCAATTCATGGAATTACTGGGAGAGAAATTGATTGTTGCTTTCCTGAAATTACCTAGGCTCTTGTAAAACATGACTTTCCTTTTAAGGATGTAGGCACTGCTCAAATTAAAAAAAAAAAAGACACCATAAAAAATAGTCATGTAGTAATGAGCAGTATACTTTATGAGAACCAGGTTAAAAGCTGTTTGTTGTCTAATGGAGTGGAAGCTGCTGGGGTCATCAAATAGCCAAGGACTGGCATACTATATGACTACTCATTATTGTCTAATTATATTCTTTTGACAAGAGGCAGCATTTACCAGAGCATTAATTCTATGTGAGTTTTGGCTATCAAGATGTGTTGATTTGAAACATAATTGAATGAGGCCTGATTAAAGTCTGACTCTCCTGGCCCCAGTGTTTTCTGCAGGTTAGCTATGTGCATTTATCGGTCCCATCATTTCATAAGGTTCTTCGCTGCACCAAGTGATTGGTGAACAAAGACGACGACGACAACAAAAGCAGCATACGTTGTATGGATTTATCTCAACGCTATTGTTTAATGGCTGTGTTTCATGTGACCTGTCTGGAAAATGAGGACTCCGAATAAAAGCTATTACTAATAGTGGTGTTGCCTTCCCTTGATTCATTAATGCAGATGTGATGCATTCCACTGCACACCACGAGAAAGACTCGAACTATAATTATTTGGGGTAAAGCAAATATGATATCACAATTGTCTTTGCTAATTATCTGCTTTGCTAGAAAGCAAGATTTTAGAAATTACTTAATAATAAGTCAGTAGTTTCTAATAGAAGTGAACACTCAAATATATTTGATGAATGAACTAGTCTTGGGTACATGAACAGAGAAACTATGATCTATAAATTCTTAAACCTTGCTTTCTTTACATTTGGTGTAAACAAAAGCCTCTCCTACCGTTACAGTAATCATTTGGTAAATCCATATTATGTATTTGCCTACCTACCTAATATGCACCCAAAATATACTGTGAATGCACAGTGGTGCCTGGGGTGCAGCCATGTGGAAAAAAACAACTGGACGAATTTTAATCCACCCAGCTCTTCAAAAGGTATATATGATTACTCCTGGTTTTCCTTAGTTATGCAAAAAGGCTGTATTTTTACTTATTCACCGCAAATGACATGCTTTATAATTCACATTCACATAATATTTCACCTCATAGGCATTTTGTTTTCATTTTTATTACATTATCAAGACTGTGTGCTACATTAGACTTATTAGCACAGATTGAATAACTTTCCCTGTCCTCACTTTGGTTCATCTCTATGTTGGGCTTTTTGTTTCATTGAACATTTGCTAGATTGCAGTATATAGAAGAATTCTTCTAAGATACAAAGAAGCACCAAAACAGTTACATTTTGTATGCAGAATCTGTACAGTTTGTGCCTTGTACAGTTGTATTATGAACACACACAGGAGTGCAATCCTTGCTTTCATAGGAGTTGCAAATGCTGTTAGTCTATTCTGCTGTCCACTGCTTTACAATGTAAAGGTAGATCAAGACACTGTTAATTCAGTCAAGTGAATCATGTGACCAAGGCCGAACGTTATCTGGCTATGACAAAATTAGGAGATCGTGAGCTCAGCTTAGGAAAGCCTTGGTATATGTCAATGAAAATCAAAGTCCTGGGAATTATACTATTTTCATATAGATATGACCAAAGTTGCAATTACTTGACAGTTCTTAGAAAAATTTTAAGAAAATAACTATCCACTTATAGTGCCAGTATGGCACATTGAACACAATATCTAGTCAATAGATTGTCTTCAAATTCTTCATTACTATGGATTCTATAGGCTAACACAGCACCCATTAACTTAAAAAATATGTTCTTCTTGTTTGTTTACTTTTGCCTTCTGAACAGGATACTTCACTTTGAGAGAAACAAGTTTTTATTTCATCTACTTCCTTTTACATATATGTATTAAATTATTTTAGATTCTAATAATTTAATTTTTATTGTGATATATTTCAAGTTCATAGCTTTGTAAAGTCCCATAACTTGCTCAAATTTTTAAAACTTTTTTACAAAAAGAAGTTAAATACAAATTCTGTACTTTGTTCTAGTTTTCATAACTTGTCATATATTGTTTAAGTAATTGGCGTTTGAGGGAGTTTATATGCGAATTAATCTTACTTCTTTCATCGTTTTTAACGACATGCATATCACCAAGCACAGATCTTACTTGACATGGGTAAATTCTGGCTCTAAAATACTTTTTATGGTATAAAGCTTTATAGAATTAGGGCTTCACAAGGAGCTGTAGGGCAACAGTGTGCATCCAAGGACAGTTGTCTAGGATACCTGGCTCTTTCTTAAAGCAGATCTCTAATTTGATAGTTCAGTCCAGATTTCATAACATTGCTGTATTTTATATCTTCTCTACAATGTTCAATTTATCATTGAAAAGCCTTCTTTTTCAAATTATGCAGCTAATATATGTATTCTTTTAATTTTCCTATATCTCTACTCTGTGGATAGTTCCCATATTTTAGTGAATAAATTGGAAAGCAGAAAAGTTCTTTCATTTTCCAAAAAAATTAAAAAGAAAATGGATATCTTGAGAGTTATAGGCATAGTGCTTGTCTTGATCTAAGTGTGGTGGTACCTGTCTGTCATCCCAGTGCTTAGAAAGCTGGGGAAATAGGCTCATGACTTCCCTGCAGTTCTGCAATGTGTGTGTGCGTGCGTGTGTGTGCGTGTGTGTGTGTGTGTATGTCTGTGTGTGTGTGCATGTGTGTGTGTGTCTATGTGTGTGTCTATGTGTGTGTGTATGTGTGTGTGTGTGTATGTGTGTGTGTGTTTGATGGTAGACCATTAAACTGTGTTTGCCTTTATATTACCCTTTTCATTTCATTCTCATCCCCATTTTTCCAAGTTCTATATTATAGCTACACAACGGAATTTATAGGAAAAAAGGTGCATGTTGTAAAATTTCAGAACGTAGTTTTAGAAGACTTCAGAACAAATATTACTGGTAATTGGTTAATTGTCATCTTTGAAAATGTTATAAAATTTTGATATTTTTATCTCTCCCCAGCCCCAAATGATAGAAAATCAGTTTTCTGGTGAATTTATTATGCGCTCACTTGGAAATGACCTTGCAGATGTTCATTTAATTCTGTTAAATCATGAAATTTGTATATGCTTAATTAATAGGATCATTAATTGATTTCTTAGGAATGATTCTTTACACTCTAATAATATTAAAATTATATATGCAAATGTAGAAGTGGATGAGAATCTGATAATTTCAAAAGATACTAAGATAAAGAAGTGCAAGTCAAGTAATTCTGATACAGCTAACAGGCACCTAACAAATTTAGCCTTGCCTAGCCTCTTCAAATATAGCTGTGTGGTACACATTTAATCTTTTCAGTACTCAAATGGAAAGACAGCAATACTATCAAAATTGATTTCATTGTAGTCCAGTGAAAATGACGTTGATTTGATTCTAATTAGTAAACTTAAATTAACTAAATTTTAATTTACTATCTCTCCACAGAGGTCATAGAAACCACTTTGTAATCTCAAGAAGACCAATTATACTAATGCCCACTTAGTGTTGATTTATTATTATATATTTTTGAAATCTATATTAAAATGGATTAGATGTGATATTCATTAACTTCACTAGTTATTTAAATAGTTCAGTACTAATTATCTAACAATTCTTAAATTATATTTGAATGCTTATTGTTTTATTTATATGTTTTAAAATACATTAAATCTAAAAATTTACGTTAAGGGAGCTTTCAGATTTTAATCATTTTCCTTTAAAAATCTGATTCATACCAATATCATTTTGTGATAAAGTAAATGAACATCTGGTAACATTTGTGAGCTCTCTTCAAGTGATTATCTTATTTTCATCTTCATTTCTTAGCTTTCTCTAAATATTAACTGAATGCACTTTTATTTTTATCATCTGTTTATTAAAATAGCTTTTGTAAGTCCATATGATTCAAGTTGATGTGGAGTTCCTAAGGGCTTACCTTACAATAGTAAGTGGAAATATTCCAATCCACTTACCTAGGCCTATATGAAATCAAGCAACCTTTTTCAAACTCCCACATTGAGTGTTAAGATTGACAAATGCATAATGATTTCTAACAGGAAGTATACAAAGTGTAAATAGGTCAGGCATAGGGATTTTTAGGAAAAAAATATGCAGGAGTTCTTAGTACTTAGTGGCAAGATTGATTAAGTAATTGGAAAATGAGGGATCGTACTCTATTATCACCTATTCCTATGTATTAAGAGATCCTCTTATTAAGACTTCATCATGTTGAAAGATTGGCATTGATTGAAGATAAGTAAAGAACCTTGGAGACTATTATGATTGCTCATCCTACACATCTCCCTTAAACATCTTCATAATTCAAACATTATATCTACTACATACCTTTCATTTCATGAAAGTGTAAAAACTCACTCTACTCATAAACCAGCGGAGGAATGGAAATGAATGAGCAGGTGTAAAATGGCTTCTCATTTTGGAGATTGTGGCATTCTGTACTTAGTTCAACACTCGTGTATGGAGCATGCTTGTACACTTTGGCAGAATGGGACAGATACACATTAACTAAGCATCATTTCTGTCTCTATAGACTGAGAAACTAAGAAATTTATAAAAATTAAAGTGGACTTGATGCTATGTGAGAAATATGTTTCAGTGGCTTAGAAAAAAAGAGACATTGAAATGGAAATATTTTCAGCTTAGGAACCTTAAGGAGGAAGGAGCAGCCGCAGCTTCCCAGAAACAGCAGCGTTTGAACTGAGCATTGAAGGAAGGATGAGATTTTCACGGCAGAGCTGTATTGTGGACAAAGAGGGGGGTGTGTACAAAGACTTAAGAATAAAGTCAGGATATTTTCTAATATGGGAAGTAGAAAGGGTTGGAGAGGTATGCTAAAGTTAGGATGATCCAAATGGTCCAATGCCACAGCAATTTATTGTAAAGGTGAAGAGATGTAAGGGGACCTGAATTAGTATTACTGGCTAGAAGAGTTCTGCCGAAGTCCTGCCAAGCTGAATGTGAATTCAGGAAAATAACACTAGGACAGCTTGCTGCTGCCTGGTGATCCATTCTTTATAAGATGCTGCCTAATAGCACCTTGTACTTGGGTCTGGTCCAGCTCTAGTGAGAGTGCCAGCTCTTTTGAATCTTGAATTTCTCAGCTCCAACCCATGAGCAGAGTATTTATATATGTTTCCAACTTCCCAGAAGTAATTCTTCCCTTAAAATCTGCAATCATATTTGATACTTTGGAAAATGAGATGAAGGTGAAAATCAAGGGTATGGATAGCTTCCATCCCTGGAATGGTGACTTTTTATTATTCCTGGATTCTCTAAGTAACTCCTGGAATGTTCTGCATGGATTCTGCTAGTAGAATAACTCCAATAATTGTTCCCGTTGCTATTCCAGCCTTTTCAGGCTGACAGAAGAGGACTACCACAGTGCTTCTATAATGTTCCAAAAATATACTAACATACATATTTCAGGCCCTAATATAAAGAATCAATGAATTTATATTGGTAATTTCAAAATGGAACAGTTTCCCCCTCAAAGATATT